GCAGTTAAGGTAACCACACACAGGTAAGTCAGGTAGGTAACCCACACACAGGTAAGCCATGTAGGTAACCCACACACAGGTAAGTCATGTAGGTAACCACACACAGTAACCCACACACAGGAAGTCAGGTAGGTAACCCACACACAGGTAACCCACACACAGGTAAGTCATGTAGGTAAGTCACACACAGGTAAGCCAGGTAGGTAACCACACACAGGTAAGTCATGTAGGTAACCCACGCACAGGTAAGCCATGTAGGTAACCCCACGCCACAGCGTAAGTCAGGTAGGTAACCCACACACAGGTAAGCCATGTAGGTAACCCACACACAGGTAAGCCAGGTAGGTAACCCACACAGGTAGCAGGTAGGTACCCACACACAGGTAACCCACACACAGGTAAGCCATGTAGGTAAGCCACACACAGGTAAGCCATGTAGGTAAGCCACACACAGGTAACCCACACACAGGTAAGTCAGGTAGGTAACCCACACACAGGTAACCCACACACAGGTAAGTCAGGTAGGTAACCCACACACAGGTAAGTCAGGTAGGTAACCCACACACAGGTAAGTCAGGTAGGTAACCCACACACAGGTAAGTCAGGTAGGTAACCCACACACAGGTAAGCCACACACAGGTAAGCCACACACAGGTAAGCCAGGTAGTAACCCCACACAGTAAGCCATGTAGGTAACCACACACAGGTAAGTCAGTAGGTAACCCACACACAGGTAACCCACACACAGGTAAGTCAGGTAGGTAACCCACACACAGGTAAGCCAGGTAGGTAACCACGCAAGGTAAGTCAGGTAGGTAACACACACAGCGTAACCCAACACAGGTAATTCAGGTAGGTAACCACACACAGGTAATCCATGTAGGTAACCCACACACAGGTAAGCCAGGTAGGTAACCCACACACAGGTAAGTCAGGTAGGTAACCCACACACAGGTAACCCACACACAGGTAAGTCAGGTAGGTAAGCCACACACAGGTAACCCACACACAGGTAAGCCACACACAGGTAAGCCAGGTAGGTAACCCACACAAGGTAAGTCATGTAGGTAACCACACACAGGTAACCCACACACAGGTAAGCCATGTAGGTAACCACACACAGGTAAGTCATGTAGGTAACCCACACACAGGTAACCCACACACAGGTAAGCCATGTAGGTAACCCACACACAGGTAAGTCAGGTAGGTAACCCACACACAGGTAAGTCAGGTAGGTAACCCACACACAGGTAAGTCATGTAGGTAACCCACACACAGGAAGTCAGGTAGGTAACCCACACACAGGTAAACCATGTAGGTAACCCACGCACAGGGTAACCACCACAGGTAAGCCAGGTAGGTAACCACACACAGGTAAGCCATGTAGGTAACCCACACACAGGTAAGCCAGGTAGGTAACCCACACACAGGTAACCCACACACAGGTAACCCACACACAGGTAACCCACACACAGGTAAGCCACACACAGGTAAGCCATGTAGGTAAGCACACACAGGTAAGTCAGGTAGGTAACCACACACAGGTAAGTCAGGTAGGTAACCCACACACAGGTAACCCACACACAGGTAACCCACACACAGGTAAGCCAGGTAGGTAACCCACACACAGGTAAGCCACACACAGGTAAGTCATGTAGGTAACCACACACAGGAAGTCAGGTAGGTAACCCACACACAGGTAAGTCAGGTAGGTAACCCACACACAGGTAAGTCATGTTAGGGGATAACCCACACACAGGTAAGTCAGGTAGGCTAACCCACACACAGGTAAGTCAGGTAGGTAACCACACACAGGTAACCACACACAGGAAGCCACACACAGGTAAACCCACACACAGGTAAGTCATGTAGGTACCCACACACAGGTAACCCACACAAGGTAAGTCAGGTAGGTAAGCCACACACACAGGTAAGCCGTACAGGTGAGTGGTGCGTCCGCCGCGCAGGTAAGTGGTCGGCTGGTCGCCGCGATAAACGCTTCACTATCATCACAATAACTCGAGGAGAAAAACCAGTTTTTACTGATTCTACCCGCGAAGCGCCGCGCCTGTTGGTTTTATTAGCGTTGTCATGATCAGATGGATCACCCGCCCGACCCTTACCAACACCGTAATCCCCTAACACACACATGCATGCACGCACGCACGCACGCGCACGCACGCAGGCACGCAGAGACACTGACACACACACACGCGCGCACACACACACGCACACGCACACACGCACACGGACACAGACACACAGACACAGACAGAGATTGCCTGTTGTTGGTGCCTGGGAAGACATTCCTCGCATGAAAAAAGGCACCTATTCGGGAGAGATCAGTGGCGCGTTCTCTGTGTAAACAAATGTCAAGTCGCATGAGAGAACGCAAGTTTCTCCAGCGACGTGACTTGCCGACAGACTCCCCCGCGCGAGCCCTCTAGACTCGCCCACGTCGCGTTCGCTCGTGCTCGGACGCAGCGTCACCTATGCGATCGAAAAAAAAGGATGGTAAAGAGACGTCTATAGCGCGTCGCCTGAAGATGTTGTTCATATACGTAAAGTCAAAAGTTTTTGCCGAAAATAGTGAAACCGTCTGCGTGTCAACGCCGCCGCTGCTGCTACGTGTTTGCGTCTGTGTGTAATCTGTATGCGCTCTCGCTCACGGATGCCAGCCAACAGCAAATAGCAGAATGTGCCTTCATTCATTCGTTAGAGCTCTCAATAAACGAGAAACGAACACACTTTGAGCGCAATCAGATCAAAGACGGACTGCGGGTTTTAGTTGTACCCGGCTATTGAATGCCGACTCATTGATATGCCAAGCGAAAATTACGAGTACCAGTAAAACAACGCAAAGCACTAAATAATAGGAAGTGTCGAATGACAAAGTGGTATGTGTAAACGAAAGGAAGCTAACTGTTGAGTAGATTAGGGAAATTCACTTTAAATTGACCTAGCACCCAAGTTTTACGAGTAATCGTAAAAAGCACGTTCGAACATAAGAAAGGCGCGTTCGTTAACTCCTGCTACATCCACAATATAATTATTACTGTAGTATAGACTATACATCCTCTCCTACATCCAATCAACAATCCGCTTGCAACCAAGATTCCTATATAGCACGATTGACACACAAACCGCAAAGATTTGAAGTGTCGGAACGTCAACATTGCACAAAGCAACAAGGCGCGCAGGTAAATAACCACGTGTCCACAAATTCACGGCTGAACATACTAGTCGCGCCGACGGCTGCCGACCGATGGAGACCGAGTATTCAGTCTAACAAACACAGCTTCCTTCCACACCTCTCCGAGAGAGACTACCGGTCCGGCAGATGTATTCCGCCGACTTCTAACATATGCGGAGAGACGTCGGTTTGAACGCCAGCGCGCCCATGCACTCTTGTAGGAGGTCTCGCACGCGCACGCGCACGCGCACGCACACACGCACGCGCACGCACACACGCATGCACACGCACGCGCACACACGTCCACACGCATGCACGCAGGAACAAACACACGCTTCAAACACCGTCACATCTACACAGCACGGTATAGATGCCCAACACGCGCCCAACACCGCAACCCATTAACGTGCAGGTTTACATCGCAACGTCGATATTCACACATATATAGCGGTGGAAATTTACACCCGAGATGTCTAAATGTTAATATGAATGTCAATTTTTACACCGAAATGTCGAGATTTACACTGTAACGTCGATAGTTACACCGCAATGACAATGTATGACAGTTAGCATTGCATCATTCTCACGCTTTACCTT